GTGGTGGTGGTGATGGTGATGGTGATGGTGGCAGATTGAGGCGGCGAGGCGAGTATCGACGACGGAAACGTCGAGAAGATCGATGGCAGCTGACAGGTGTGCTTGGAAGCGTCGATTTTCGACGCCGGCTGGCGGGAAACGGACGCAGTGCCCGCCGTCGGCTGCTCCGGAACACATCGTGCGGTTCGAAATGGCGCGCCGATTTGAGCGGTGTTAGGCTCGCGACTTGTCGGTGGAGGTTTGGTGTCACCCGGTCCGTGCCACGCCGACCCTTCTCTTTCTCCTCCATCACATCCACCACCACCATGGCAGCCTCTACCTCGACATCCCACCCCGCAGCGGGTGGATCCACTCGCAGCGGCAGCAATGCGACCAACCAGCTGTACGCCCTCGCCTCGCGCGTACCGCTCATCAAGTCGCCCTCGATCTCGCTGCCCAAACCCGTCACACTTCCCGCCGATCTGCATCCACTCCCGCACGACATCTCGGCGTACTTTGTGTATCCATTCAGCCTCGAGTCGTACGTCCTCGATCCCAACACGCCTTCCTCCACCACCATCGATCAGCTGCTCGAAAAGCACGCGCAGTATCTGAAGCACAGGGAAGAGGAGAAGCAGAAACGACAGCGAGACATGCTCCACAGACTGGCTCCCGGTTGGCAGGGCGCAAGTGGCGTGCTGCAGCCAACCTCGACGGCTTGGAACCAATCCAACCCAAGTCCGAATGCAGTACAGACGCAGCAGCAGCAAGCACAGCAGCAGGAACCACAGCAGCAGGAAAGAACTCCGCTCGATGATCTTGCTGATCACCTCGCACAGCTAGACGCTCTCCATTCGCAGCCTCCCGCAACAAGCGGTCTTCCAACTCCCTAGATGTCGACTGCCCTTCCCACTAGGTCACCCGCTTCGCACCGCAGCACCCAACCTGCAACGTCTTTCGATTCCTGCATCGCTTCCATCAGCAATATACCCATTACCACCCCCTCCTCAGCATGCCTTGCTCGTAGGTTGGCCTGTGCTGCTTCATCCTCGCCCTCGCCCTCGTTGCCATGCCGTAAAAAGGCGCCAAAAAAAAAGGATCCAAAATCCGAAAAAAAACGACACCAACAGGATTTGAACCT